ATTCGGAGGGCTTGGCAGGCAGAGAAAGTCTGGCTACGACCCGGGTCAGAGCCCTGTTTTCAGCCAGCAGTTGCTCATTCATCTGCCTCAGAGTGTGAATCTGTTTGAGCTGGTGGAGATTCTGCGGAGAGTGAGAGGAGTGGACAGAGAAATACAGAGAAAAGACACCACAGAGACAAAAGGGCACAGAAATGTGAATTTAGGCCACAAGCAGTAGGAGAAAAGAAAAAGAGAATGAAAAATTAGTAGCGGTGAGCGCTGGATGGGCAGCAGCTCAGATGCCGATGGGGAAAGCCTTAAACACACTGAGGATGTTTTGGGAACCATCCCTTATTCCAGTGGCCCCCAAAGCCTTTCGAAAGGTGAAATAAAGGGATTTCCCACCACAAAGCAGGACGGTCGCTCGCAGGTTACTACCCCGACAGTGAGCTCCAGCGCACAGCCCCTGCACTCAGGAACTCCTGTGAGAACTACCCCCCTGACTTACCACCTACGCAGGATTTCAAGACAGGGCTGGCAACCGCGAAACTCTTTAAAACTCCTTTTCTTCGTAAAAAAGCTAAAGCAGCCTCAGGTGGCAAAGAGTGAACAGAGCTTCATGGGAGATTTTTAAAGGCACAGGCTGAAGGACCTGAAAGCATCACCGTCTTGCAGCAGAGCACCGAGACATGTGTCACGTCTGCTCATGTCCCTTGTCCCCGTGGCACCGGCGTGGTGGCTCTTGGGTCTGCCCAGTCCCATCAGAGAGCTGGGGCACGTGGCGAAGTTTTTCATCTCTGCTCAGATGAAACTCTTCTCTTGTCATGGGGCAGAATTTATCTCAGAACCTTAAACAGCTCGTTTTAACTAGAGGAGCTCGAACACCAGCATCTTGAGCAGGAGGCAGGTGACAACGCGGCGTTGGTGGTTACAGAAGAGACAGGTGGGCAAAGGACGGTGTCGAAACCGAGCCCCACAGCTGGGGCTAACACAGGTACAGCAGCAACAGGCAAGATACCGAACATAAAAGCAAAACAGGAAAAGGGTAAAAGCCATGCAGACGTCACCGTTCCTACAGGGATGACATTCTTCCCTAAAGCAAACCCATGAGCTGCACACCGAGACCAAGCGCCGAGGGCTGCAGAGCTGCCTTCTGAGCAGCGTCCCCGTCCCTCCCTCCTCCCCACAGCTCAGTGGGCAGCAGCGCCACGTGAGAAAGAAACCCTCCTCTGTGGGAGATGGAGCACGGACCCCCGGCAGGGGAAAGGCAGGAAGGGAAACATCTGCGAGAAGAGCTCTTTGAAGTTCAGGTGACAAAATCCCAGCCCAGAACCGAAGCAGCTCCAGAAACCGCCGTGCTCTTCCCTTACTCGTGAGCTTGCAACGGCAGGGAAGAGACAGAGGGCAGGATCTGCTGGGAAGGGGGTTCCTTTCTGCCATTTAATTAGCTGAAAGCGCTCACAGGTTGCTCACTGCCTGCCCTTAGGCAGAAGCAGCGCAGGCAAATCTCCTGCGATACAAAGAACTTGCAGGAGCTTCCACCCGAGTCACAGGACACGGAGCTGGCTGCAGTCGGCGACAAACCTGTCGCATCCCAGGACATTTTGTCCAAGGGCTCATTCTGGTACAAAAGAGAAGGACTTCGTGTAGCCCCCATCAACCAGTTTGATTCTTAGCTACCCAAAAGCACTATTTCTACACCCCATTAAGAGATCAAGACCCCCTGTAAAACCGAGGGACGTCAGGCAGGGGAGTGCAGCCAAGGATGGGGCTCAAGTCCTCCAAGGGCATCAAGCTGAGAAAGCAGCTCTTGCTACTCAGACTTCACCAACACAATTCTGACCTGGGATAAGTTCACAGGACCTGAGATACGGCCAACAAACTGCAGGAGAGCTCCAGGGACACCTCGGCAGCGAGACTCCCTCTCTGCACATCTCAGCCATCTCTCCAGCAGGTAACCCGCCCGAGCTGTGCTGGCTCAGGAAGACTCATTTCTTTTGGTCATACTATGGACCATAAACGTCCTGTTTTATTACAGGAAGGATCTCGCTGGCAAAAAAACATGAAATGTATGTAAAAGGGGCTGCTGCGCTACACGAGATGGGAAGGATTGCGATCGGCTCAGAGACCACCTTCATCTTTCCACACCAGCACAGCATGAAACCTCAGCACGGCACGATCGGCTGCAGCTCAGCCTCAGCACGCTGCCCGAGATGATAAAAAGGATCACTTATGTAAAAATGTGCGTGTGCTGCAGGTAGGACAGCCTTCTGTTTATCTGAGAAACCCAGCAAAGGCTGGGAAGCTGGGACCGGAGCCAAGGGTGAAGACCAGAATCTGGACGATACCGCTGTGCATGCTTATCACTCTGCTTGATACCTGGCTTACCGAAAGCAGGTTTCTCAGTTCAGCTGTACCTGCCTTCAATTAAAGGATTTTGTGCCTGCAACACTAAGGGAAATAAAAATGCCCAGAGCATGCACAATGTACAAAGCCAGGAGGTGCAGTCCTGCTACAGAATAAAGAAGCTTCAGTGACCTTGAAGAAAAATTGCTGTGTTAAGTCGGGACCTCAGGCACTTGGCATCAAATTCAGTTCGGTGCAAATGCTAATTTTCTTTCTCCCTCCTCAGTCAAGTCGCTGTACCTCCAGTCAAATTCTGCAGTCACTCAGGAAGAGGCTGCACTGCTCCGTCACCTTCGCAAGAGCGGGTCTGCAGGAGCAGCTCTGGCACCAAGGAGTTCTTGAGATTACTGAGTTTGTCCTGCTCTTCTCCATTTCTTGATGGCTTCGTTAGCAGGGCTTAAACTCATGAAAGGAACAAAGCTCGTTACCTGAAGTACAAAGTGTCTCTGCCACAGAAACCCAGGATCGTCCTGTCACCACTGCTGTGCCTCCTCTTCCTCAGAAGTCAGCCGCAAGGAGAGGAACGTTGGCCAGGGCAGCCAATGTGCAGAACTGGACACAGAACTCGCCAGGGTCAAAGAGCTGGGCATGAGCTGCGCCAGACTGGTCCCATTCAAAGACCAGTAAGCGGGAAGAATCCCCAAACCCAGCTATTACCCGAGACCTAATAACCCAGCAGGTCTGGCTGTTTCCCCTCACTGCTCTCCACGTTAAAGGAAACTGGTGGATTTGCTCAAGTTGCTTCTTCTGAGGCTGCTCAGCAACTACTCAGCAAGTGCAAGAAGCAGGA